ATTAGTGAATATTTCATGAAACTCACAAAATCATGTATCATCCGACCGAAACTTTCAAGAGTTGAACGCTTTTTTGACTCTCCACTGACTTGGACTTGAGACTGAAATCCTTTTGCTTTGAGTGACACCATATTATAATTATTTTATTAAAACTAATAATTGAACATTCCATTTTGTTACTACCAATACAGTCTTAACACTAACAAAACTTTACCAAACAATTCAGTGATGACAATTTTAGCTAATATTGAGGAGAACTTAAAGGAAGCTATTGATAACAATAACATAACTTTGGACAGTTGCACACAACCGTTTGGACAGTTGCACACTACAAAATTATAATAATAAAACATTAAAATCCTTGTTTACATAATTTCAGAAAGTGTTCGTAATGGCACATACTGACGTTGACACATTTACCCCGAAATATTTTTAAATTAAGTGTTTGGGAGAGACACCTCCCAATATTATGACAGCACATTCTAGGCTTTTTTTCCAAATTCAGTGGCAAATTTGAAAATGCTAATTAAATTGTGTGTTTACAGTTGTGCTGCTCGTGTGAGTGTACATCGTTTAAGACACAATTTAAATTCAAATGCAAAATATGTATGTTTTACATTTTTGTGAAAAATGTCGAAGAATTTTATATGGAACTTTAAAGTGCTTTTGACATATCATTTTCGTAATGGCATCACGCTGACAAATTAAAATCATCGGAAAACAATCATCCATTTTCAGTTTCTTGTGATGAACAAAGACTAAACTTGGTGGTGCTGACACAGAGCTAGACATGAGTGTGGAAGTGACTCTTGAACGACTAGCAGAGCTTGTGGCTGTCAGCATTAGTGACATTGTGACCAGTTTCGGGCAGACACTCACAGGACTGTCAGAGTTTTCTAAAATCATGGTGTTTAAAATCATCTTAACACTGGTAGAAAGAGTGTTCACTGTAATGTGTGGCTTCCATTTAACAAACACTTTCTTTGCACAAAGATAACTACACGTTTTGCATTTGAATTTGGATTATTGACCTGCTGGAAGATCCAAACTATGGCCCAATTTAAGCTTCCAGTCTGAGCCTGGCTATCTTTGTGTCCATGGCAAACTCACCTCTGGTGTTTGTTGCCAAAAACCTCTATTTTGGTCTCACCTGACCATAGAACAGTGTTTTAGTAACTTGTAGGAAACTGTAGGGGCTTGAGTTTGTTGGTCCTTGACGCCTTGATGGAGGCTTTCTTCTGCCGACCCCCCCAAACAACTTAATTTACAACTTATAACAACTTAGCAGTTATATAGGTGGTGTTTGATTGTGATGATCCAAATGCAGTTGCAAACATTGCACTTAGGCTGTCCAAGACATAAATAAATAAAAAATACACGTGCTTGTGCTGTACATGAGGGGTTCCCATTTAAGTCCTGGTGAAACTCTGCATATTTTTGTGGTTTCTCTACTCTACACACCTGACCCAGTGAACAAGGAGCTTGGTTAGTTAATGGGTTGAATCAGGTGTGTGCACTGAGAAAAAGCACAAAAACAGCCTATAACTATATTTTAAAAGAAATTTTTGAACATTCTTTACCAACGTAACAGAAAATCCTTAATGTTCATCCCGTTTTATTGTACATCGTGTGTTATTGTATGTTAATGCCTATAGCTAAAGGTGAATTTGAAGCTTCGTACTTGTGCTGATATACTCCTCTGTGTTGGAGTCATTGCCTCTTATAGCATCAATGCACTCATAGACAACCACCACAATGTCTTCTAGTTCTTCTTCAGTTCTCTTCAGCTTCACTAAGCAGTTCTTCAGATCTTAATAAACACTCAGACATCTCTCGAATCAATAGAGTACAGAGGTGGGTAGAGTAGCCATATTCAATTAACACTATGAAATAATGAAGTAGAAGTAAGGCTGAAGTAAGAGTAAACAGAAATGAAAAAAAGACTAGGATTTTAAAGAAGTAGTCAGAAAGCCTCTCTACGGAGCTCCAGTGGACATAACAGCACTAATACATACAGCATGAACCAGCATATGTTTGGCATAGAGATTGAAGTATAAATGAGTAAATGAGACTCAGTAACAAATAGACTTCTTTCCTCACAAGTATAATTGAGCCTACATAAAAGTAGTATTTGTAAATACTCCAAAAATATACATCTTTCAAATCCATGTACTTGTACAAGTAACTGAGTAAACTGGTTGTAACTACTCACCTCTGACAGGAGAATGTAAAAGAAGTGAACATATCTCTGTCAAATCTTTGAAAACACTTCTTTTTTACTATATGCTTTAATGGCAGTTTAAGCGTTGTGCTCCTTTAGCAGTATCTTTGTGCTTTATAGAAATAACACTCAGTGGTTTAGGTGTGAATGTGGCTGGTTTGCCAGTATTGTGCTGGTTTGTTTCTACCATGTCAATATGCTACAAATATTAATATCAAATCAATTTGTTAATAATCTGATTTGTGAATATTAGAGACATATATTGTGTATGCATTGTTGCATGCTGTGATTTCCATAAGTGGCGCCTCATCCTGGACAATCATTTATTTTCTTCTCCTGCTTGTGCAGAGCAACAGGTAACTCCACAAATACATTGTCTGAGCTTTTTCTATACTGAAATCTATTAGGATAAAACAAATGGGTACAAAATTTTACTAAAGTCATTTCATCAACTAACAGATAGAGAGTGTGTGTGTGTGTGTGTGTGTGTGTGTGTGTGTGTGTGTATAGATAATGTTGAGTCTCTCATACAGGCTAGTCAGTTATCTTACCATGTAGCATTGCTAACTGGCTATCTTGCTAGTTAGGTTGTGTTTAACGAACAGTAAAACTAAGAAGTGTTTTAAGGATATGTTTGACAACATTCACACATAACTAACAGATCAACTTATGAGCTACCTAAAGCTTATCTAGTTAGAGTGCTAGCAAACTTTTCACAGCATGATGAGCTGCTTGTCCAGGGTAGCCAATAGTTGCTGATCCTGGATAGTCAATTAATGACTGTGTTAATCTGAGATAGCAAATTAATCCTTTTATTGGCAGTATTGATCCTGGAAAGTCCTTAATCCTATTACTGATGGTATTAATCCTAGATTGTCAATCTCGTTGATGACTAGATTTATTGGAGGGTCGATACAGTCATAAATTGTTACTATCCAGTTATTGACTGTGTTGATTCTGGATAGTACTTTAATCCTGCTACTGATGCTATTGATCCTGGATAGCCAGTTAATCTAGTTCATGACTGTACTGATCCTGGATAAGAAGTTAATCCAGTTCATGACTGTGTTGATCGTGGATAGGAAGGTCATCCAGTTCATGACTGTATTGATGCTGGATAACCAGTTATTCATATTATTAACTGTTTTGATTTTGGATAGCCAGTTAATCCAGTTTATGGCTATATCCATTCTGGATAGCCAGTTAGACCTATTATTGACTGTTTTAATCCTTATTAATAAATTAATCTGGTTTTTGACTGTATATATCTTGGATAGCCAGTTAGTCATATTATTGATTGTATTGATCCTCGACAGCCAGTTAATCTAGTTCATGACTATTGATCCTGGATAACATTTTAATCCTTTTACTGATGGTGTTGATCCTGAATTGCCAGTTACTTACTTTATTGATTGTGTTCATCCTGGATAGCCAGTTAATCTAGTTTATGACTGTACTGATCCTGGATAAGCACTTAATCCAGTTAACGGTTATACTGATCCTGGATGGGTAGGTAATCCAGTTCATGACTATATTGATCCTGGATAGCCAGTTAGTCATATTATTGCCTGTGTTCATCCCGGATAGCCAGTTAATCTTGTTCATGACTGTATTGATCATGGATAGCCATTTAATCCTGTTACTGATAGTGTTGATCCTGGATAGCCAGTTACTTGCTGTATTGACTTTTTTTTCTGGATAGCCAGTTAATCTAGTTCATGACTGTACCGATCCTGGCTAACCAGTCAGTAATATTATTGACTGTTTTGATCTTGTTTAGCCAGTTAATCCAGTTCATGGATGTATCCATTCTGGATATGCAGTTAGTCTGTGAGTTCCAGATTCAGGCGGTCAAATGATTTGTATCCAAGTATTAAAAATGATAAAGCTCAAAATGATAAAGCTTTAAACAAACTATAAAATCCAGTATATTAATATAATATATGATAAACATGACTTTGTTGACATCAAAATATAGTCTATATCATAGTGTAAATATATGTAGGTTTAACATCTCTTCATTCAATTGCCAGCCAAACTATTCTTTTCAAAGCATTCCGAAAGTGCCAGCCAAAGCATATTTGTTTGGAATATGCTTACAGCCCTTACCTTAAATTGGAAATATTGTGCATTTGCTACATTAAAATACATAAGGCTAATCAGTTCAAAAAGTGTAAGGAAAACCCACGGATATCATAAACCGTTGCAGTTTTAACAGTAAAAACTATTGAAAGAAATAATTGTAGATTTTTTAGGTGGATAAATAGGAAAATAGAAATAGGCCTAGAAAATAGCTTTGTAATGGACTATGTGTATTCTTTTTCTATTTTCGATGTTGCTTGTAAAAATGTTTAGTTACACTTCATTTTGATAGTCCACTGTAGATGCTGTAGCCATATGTTGTCATGCATATTTTATCAGCTGTCTTTAACCCCTGTAATTATTGGTCAGTTTCTGGGACTGCTGTTGACTAGACAGTGGTAGATCAGTACAATAGAGGCACTGATATGGTACTCGTATGTTGGATCTAACAGTGTTGCTGGATTTTTACACATCAAGACCGCTGCTGTTGAGAATAGTCCACCATCCAAAAAATGTTCTTGTTCAAAATTATTACTGAACAGTTATATAGAGCTAGAGGATGGCTAACACATGCATTCCATTTTACATTGATAGCCTGTAATCTCTGACTACATGATGGTGATTCTCAGCAATGGATGTATTCTGATCAAGCATAATGGTATCATGTGTTTTCTTGGGTATTTAATTATCTCTACAGATTGGATCACATTCCTAGTGGAATGATGATTGTCAAGACATCGCTCCAGTCATTTAAAGATGGAAGATGGCTTGATGACATGGATGTTCAAATGTGGTATATAATTTTTTGTTTGTCTGTTTTTAATTTGTTAAAAAATACTTAAAGTCAAAAAATTGAGAAATGTGTAAAGTAGGCTTATATTCTTCTGAAGAACTCTATTGTTGCTTTTCTAGAGCCTGCACTGAAGGGTCCACTGACTCCTGAATCGGACTTCATCAGCCAACGTACTTGTAAAGGAGAAAGCTATGTTAGCATTTCTTTTTATAAAATACTACAATAATCAGATCTACACATGCTGTGAAAAACTTTTGTGTGTGATTTCACATATATCTGTCAACTATGAATGACCTGAAATTGTCATAGGATATTCAATATATTTATTCAGCTATATGCTTTAGACACTGACAGTATAGTAAGAGATTGCAGTGTAAGATATCTGTGTGATGATGTATTTTTAATCCTTATGCTAACTAAGAGCGATAAAACATAATCCAGTGTCTTTTGCATGTTCCTAGGTGCACTTTAATGGACACACTGTTATAATTAATATTTGACATTGCAGTGCATATTATGTACATGATACCATGATTCAGGCATGTGCAAAAGTTTGAATACTCCTGTTCAGATGAGGTTTTGTTGATTTTCTAAGTGAAAATAAAACAAAATAATCTAATATAACATCTTCTACAGGGAACACAAATACAGGGTATTTTTTCTACAAGTTTTAGCACTTCAGTTCTATTTATTTGCTGAGTTTACTGTACTTGCCCCCAAACTTTTGCATTATAGTATGAATTTTTCTGTAGCTACTTTGAATTAAGAACCTATTATGAATCATTCAGTAAATGCAATAAATTACTCAGTGACTGTTATGAATTATTTTGTGACTACTCTGAATAACTCAGTAACTGCTAAGAATTATTTAGTATCTATTATGACTTGTTTAGTAAATACTATGAATGATACAGTAACTAATTTGAGTGACTCAGTAACTTATATAAATTATTCAGTAACTATGGGAAATATGTCTCAATATTAAGCTCAAAATATGACTAACAACCCTGTACATTTGCACAGCTGAAGACTCGTAAAACAGAAGATTGTCAAAAAATTACACTTTCACAACTGGAACAATTTGTGTTTTCAGTGTTGTTAAAAGGAAAGGCGATTTAACACAGTGATAAACATGCTCCTGTCACAACTTTTTTGGAATGTATTGAAGGCATCACATTTGAAATGAGCATTTATTTACAAAAAACAATGGAGTTTATCAGGCACAACATACAACACTGTTTTTGTACCATTTTTATTTAATACAGGTCAAACATAATTTACAAATCACTGCTTTCTGTTTTTAGTTAGCATTTCACAAATCACATATTATCATAAACCATAATCTCAAAGTCAGATCCTGGAGGGCCAGAGCTCTGCATAGTTTTGCATTTTTTCTGCCCTTACACAACTCATTGTTTCAACTCATTGTTTTGTTATGATACTAAATCAATGTCATTCAACTGAATCAATAAGTCACCATTCATTCCACTCAGTAATCACTTGATCAACAGAAAAAATAATTTTAAAATCAAAAATCTTTAAATTAATGATTCAATATAAGAAGCACACATGGAATTACAATTTGATAATATTGAATGATTGATTAAAAACAAATCACTACACAGAATAATGGTGATGAACCATGCACTGACAGATGTCTTGGTAAAAATAAAAATAATAATTAACAGACTTTAAGTTTATAACAGAGAACCCTAGACTCACTTAAAATGCATATTTCAGTGGATTCAGAGTTGTTTGATCTAATGTTGTTCATTGCATAGAAACTTAAAGACTCAGATTTCTTTACAGCTGTGGTGACAGGAACCAGGGGTCACAAGGTCTACAAGGTAGCATATAGTCATATTATTTACAATCCAAACCAGTGAACACATCTTCTGGAATTTTATAAGTAATGCTTACATAATGGTCAAACCAAATAGGTGTCTTGAACATTTATGAACTGAATTAATAGACTAGCCAGGAGTGATACAGACATGTATTAGATTAACTGAACATCCAGGATCAATAAAATTATCAAATGGATTAATTGGCTAACCAATTGGCTAATCAATAGTTATGAACTACATTTATTGACTATCAAGAATCAGTACACTCATAAATGGGGTTAACACTCTATCCAGGACCAATACAGTCATAAACTGGAGTAACTGACTATCCAGGATCAATATAGTCATAAACCTGATTAACTAGTTATCCAAGATCAATACAGACAATAATATGTCTAACTATCTGACCAGGATCACTACGGTCATAAACTGGATTACTGCTACCCAGGATCAATTAGGTCAAATCCTGATTATCCAGGATCAATACAGTCAATAACTAGGTTAACTGACTTTCCAGGATATATGCCTTCATGAACAGGATTAACTGACTGACTGGGATTGTTAGAGTCATGAACAGGATCACTTGACTCTCTGGGATCAATTCAGTCAATAATAGAATAATAGGCTATGCAGGATCAATACAGTCATGAACTGGATAAACTGACTATCCAGGATTAATACAGTCTTGAAATGTATTAACTGACTATCCAGGATCATTAAGTCAAGAACTGGATTAAGTGATCACCCAGGATCAATGCAGTCTGTAAGTGGATTAATAGGCCATCCAAGATCAATACAGTCATGAACTAGATTAATTGGCTACCCATGATCAGTACAGTCAGATACTGGATTTACTGATGTTCCAGGATCAATGCAGTCTTGAGCTAGATTGAATGACTTTCCTGGATCAGTGCAGTCATGAAAAGGATTGAATGACTATCCAGGATCAAGATAGTCATGAACTGGATTAAATGTTCATCCAGGATCAATGTAGTCCATAATACAATTAACTGGCTATCCAAGATTAATAGTCATGAACTAGATTAACTGACTATCCAGGATCAAAAGAGTCATTAACTGGATTAACTACACAGGACCAATAAAGTCATGAAGTGGATTAAGTGCTTATCCAGGATCGGTGCAGTCAGATACTGGATTTACTTAGTATCCAGGATCTATGCAGGATTGAATGACTATCCAGGATCAATGCAGTCATGAACTGGATTAAATGTTTATCCAGGATCAGTGGAGTCTGTCATAAGATTAAATGACTATCCAAAATTAATATAGTCATGAACTAGATTAACTGACTGTACAGGATCATTACAGTCATTAACTGGATTAACTAACTATCCACAATCAATACAGTAAGTAGTAGGATTGACTGGCTGTCAAAGATTAATACAGTCAATAGCAGGATTCATTTGCTAGATCTAAATCTCACATTAACACAAGTCATTAAAAAAGATTTCATGCAGGTTCCAGAAGAAATACAGTCATGAACAATATTCAGTTGACTATCCAGGATCAGCAGCTATTGGCTACCCAGGACAAGCTGCTCATCATGCTGGGAAAAGTACTACTAAGTTTGCTAGCATGCTAACTAGATAAGATGATCTGTTTGGTATTTGTGAATGTTGTCAAACATATCCTTAAAAAAATCACACTTCTTAGTTTTACTGTTCGCTAAATGCAACCTAATTAGCCAGATAGCCACTTAGCAATGCTACATGGTAAGATAACTGACTAGCCTGTACGAGAAACTCAACATTATTCATCCACACTATCTGTCAGTTGATGAAATGACTTTAGTAAAAGTTTGTACCCATTTGTTTTATCCTAATAGATTTCAGTATAGAAAAAGCTCATAGACAATGTATTTGTGGAGTTACCTGTTGCTCTGCATGAGCAAAGGCGCAGGCTGATGATGCCACAAATCATTGATTGGACAATAGTGGTGTTTAGTGTTGAGTGTGTTATCACTAAATAACATCACGGCTGTGATTTGGTCGCAGGCACGAGCCAAAGGCGTGATGTTATAGCGATAACACACAGCCTCAAGTGTTTTATTGCTTTCATACAACAGTTAAATAAATAAAGTAAGAAATGAATAAATTGGGCCGTGAATGTGGCATTTATTATGTTTTAATGTCAGCAGTTCCTTCCACCAAATTATAGTTCCTTAACAAGCAGCTCGTTGCTACATCAGAGTAACGAGCTCCGCTCACTCGCTGCACAGCCGGCAGTTCGTTCTCCAGCTCCACACAGACCAACTGACAGTTTGGGAATTTAGTGTAGTCTCATCTTCAGAGTCTGACCAAATCGGCTGTCGGTCAAATGTGATCTTTTAAAGTATCCATTTTCTGTTTGTGACAAAGTAAGAAGTAAAAACGTTCAAATAGCTTGAGCGTCTCCTACAGCGGTGAAAGTCGTTGCTTAGCAGTGATACAGTGTTTGTGAAAAAAACGTGATGTCATGGCGAAATAACAGCGCAATTAGAACGCTTCTCAACCAATCAGCTTGCGTGGCCGGAACTAACTGTTGTATAATATGGACTTTAGTGTTAAAGTATGCAAACTCATTAGATGTCTCAGTTCATGCTGCCCTCAGTTCAGGCTGCCCTGTGTGAGCCTTTTCTGTTGGTGTCAATAAAGAGCGCTTCCCTAGCAGAAAGACAGCCTCAGTCTCCTTCTGCATCAAGAGGCTACAGTACTGGTCATTATGACTGAAAGACAGAATGTAATCTAGTGTCCATATGCCTGTGTGATGCACGCACGCATAGGAGGAGTTCAGCAGAATACTGACAGAACACTTCTTGAACGTGAGCGCCTCTGCAGCTGATCTGGGGGGCACGAAGCCCCCGTCAAATGGCAGCAGTTCTGTTTTTCCCTATATAATTTTTCATATATAGTTGGTGCATGTCAAATATACAAACGCTTATACAAAAAGTAATATAGCCGACCGATACACCAGAACCACAGGTCTGATTTCTGTGATTTCTGAGCTTCCACACCTGCGCTGTGCACGTTCATTTCTAAGTTTAGATCACTAGAATACGACCCTTTATTCCATTGCTGGTTGCTTGTTATTTGATTTTATGATTAGATTGTGAAATTGTAAGACAAAGCTAGTTCTTCATTTTTCCGCTGACAATATCAGAACCAGAAACGGGAATCGACTCATTTGCCGTTTTTCAATACTGGTTTTTAAAAAAGAACAGATGGTACACGGACCCATGCACTCCCTGTTTTTTGTGTTTCTGATAAGTATTGGAATGGGAAAAATGACAGTCCTTTTCTCTGGCATAATTCCTCCTCTATCCACTAGGTGGCAGTACAGGGGGGCTTAACTTGTTTCAACACTTATTAAAGGAAAAAAACAAAGCTATTCAGGGGGAAAATAGAAGTATAAACAGCTGCAAACACTTTAGTCCACTAACTTATTTGTAAAATGAATGTTTGTAGTACCTTATTTTGTATATGTCCTACCAGGTCAGTCATTGTCACTGTAATGACTACTTTTCCTAGCATCTTTGTTATTGGCAGTGTGCCATTAGTTTTTGGAGGTGATTTTTTTTTTTCAAGCATGTTAGATTGCTCTGTTTTTCATATGACATGTCATTTATACAAATAAAATAAATCATGTGACCTCTAAAAAAGAAAATTTCAAAACATTACAGCAGTCAGTCTGTAACATCTGTTTACTGTGATGTGTCCTGTTGGTGGGGAATGGATACAGACATTTACTCTTATTCCACTGTGTAGTTTGCTTGTACCATCTGCTTCCTGCAGTTTTAATTCTTAAAAGTAATTTCAACACTTCACAATACATGCAGTCTTTTCCGTAGACAGGGAAACTACATTTATATATCTATATTTAAGGCCTCAATGTCAGCAGTTTTTATTTGAAGGAAT